TCGCGTCATATCTGACATCCTACCCCTCCCTCCCATCCTTTACCATGGCGTAGATCCCCTCTCTACTCGCACAGTCGGATGTCGAGCAGGGCAATGACCCCGAAAGGGTACGCGATGCATTGTAGAGCACGGCATGGCATGGCGTAGAAGAGCACCGCAAAGCGTAGTATGTCACAGCATGGCGTGGCGTGGCGTAGTGAAGAATTGCATCACAAAGCTTTGCAACGGAAAGCATGGCGTCGCACAGCGTCCCCGAACATAACATTGCATAGCATGGCGTTGAAGATCAAAGCGTAGCATGGCTTAGCACGACGTGGCACTTAAACATTGCATATCACAGCTTCAGTTGAAGGCATGGCATCGCGCAGTGGAACGCAACCTAGCATTGCATTGCATGCCGTGGCATGACACGGGAAATGACGCCAGCGCTGCAGCGGGAGCACGATTCGGAACGAGCGGAAGCACGGAAATGAGGCCAGCGCTGCAGCGGGAGCACGATTCGGAACGAGCGGGGCCCGAAAATGAGGCCCGCGCCTCAGCGAGAGCAGCATTTTGAAAACAAATGCAGGCGAAAACCAAATTCCGGGGAATCCTGTGTGTATAAAAAATACGCGGGGGGGGGGGCGAACACTCCCCAAACCCGTCCCAGATGGAAGAGGAGAGTAGTATTCATATTGATTAATTGGTGGGATGGGGAGGGGGGAGAATGAGGGGGAGAGCCGGCGAGGCGCCCTACAGAGAGGAGGCGGAGGGAGGAGGGAGGAGGTAGGAGGGAGGAGCTAAAAGGGAGGAGCGAGTGAGGAGGAGTAGGCGGAGGAGGAGGAGGCGAAAAGAGGCGGGCAGCGGTCGGCGGAGCGGAGGCGGAGCGAGGAGGAGGAGGGAGGAGAGGAGGATGAAGAGGAATGAGGAGAGGAGGAGGAGGAGGGAGGGAGGATGAGGAAGTAGGTGAGGAGAGGAGGAAAGGGGGGGAGGAAGGGGAGGAGGAGGGAGGAGGAGGAGGAGAGGAGGAGAGGAGGAGGCGGAGGCGGCGGCGGAGGCGGAGCGGGGAGGAGAGGAGGAGGAGGAGGAGGATGAGGAGGAGAGGAGGAGGAGGAGGAGGAGGAGGAGGAGGAGGAGGGAGGGGGGAGGGGGATGGGGGAAGGGGGAGAGGAGGGTGGAGAGCCCACGGGCGCCACAGAGAGGAGGGAGGAGGGAGGAGGAGGAGGAGGAGGAGGGGGAGGAGGGAGGAGGAGCGAGGAGGAGGAGGAGGAGGAGGAGGGAGGAGGAGGAGGAGGAGGAGGAGGAGGAGGAGGAGGACATTAGCAGCGCTGCTTGGGGCAGGAGCTTTCGGAGCCCCGCGCGGGGGTGCCTCGGATCCGTGCAGGACCCCACCTGGCGGCGCCTCGGGTACACCTCTCCTGGCGCGCTCCGTGCGTCGGGGAGGGGGAGTCCAGTGCGGATCCAAGAAGTCCGCGCGAAGCTCCGACGGTTTGTTGCTCACTCGGGGGCAGGAGCATGTCCTGGACAGCACGCTCGCCACCTCCACCGCGAACAGTGCAGCGGACATTCCTCGGGGTAGGCTCGCGAGCGCGAGCGTCAGTGTTTCGGGCGCAGGCCCGTGTTCACTCTCGCCTCTGCTCCTGCGACCCGGCGGCGAGCGAGGGGGGGAAGCGAGAAGGGGCGGGCCTTCTCGGAAGGCTCGGAACTCCCCCGCCCCTCCGAGTATCTCCCTGGGCCTCCCCCGAGGGCAGACGCAAGAACTCCTCAGAGGGCGCGAGTGCCTCTGGGAAGCCCGGCCGCCTTCTGGGGAGGCCCTCTCCTCCTCGCTTCCCCCCCTCGCTCGCCGCCGAGCGGCCCCCACCGGCCGTGTTCGCCCCTCGCGCGCCCGAGCGCCCTCCCCCCCCGTGCGGCCTCCCCACGCGCAGCCGCGGGGCCGCTGCGCACGGCCGCACGCCGCCCCCCCGGAGGGGGGGCCCGCGTGCTGGCCGCGCGCCGCCCCCCGGCAGCTGGGAGGGCGCCTCGGCGAAGGCCACCGCGCGTTTTTGCTGCCCTCGGGGCCACAGCGCAGCTGGTTTCAGCCCCACCGAGGGGCCCATTCCGCGATACATAGGCGCCTCCCGGCGCCAGCTACGTGAGCTGATTCTCAGCCCCCCCCTTTGCTACCCTTTGGGCCACAGCGCGCCTAATTCAAACAGTGGCCAAACGTCCTGGCTCGCCTATAGCCCTACCAAACACTTTTCTAAGAACCCTTTTTGTGGTTTCCACGAGATGCTCTTAGAACATTTCTGGCGGAGCCTGTTTTGTTTTGTCACATCGGGTTTGTGTTCTAAGAACATTGCTTTTGTTCTTAGATCATTTCAGGGTTCTAAGAACATTTCGTGGTAGGGCTATAGGAATGCCGGGGCGGTCGGTCCCTGCTCAGTGAAAGCCACTGTGCGTTTTTGTTACCCTTTGGGCCACAGCGCGCCTAATGCCCCCTATACCCGCCCCCCCCCCCCTCGAGCCTCTCTTACGGGGCCACCTCGGAGCTCGCCGCTTGGAGCTTCGGGGTGTGCCCCCTGCCGGCCCCCCGTGAGCAGTGTGGGTCGGCGGCGCAGTCCAGTCGCAGGGGATTCTGCCAGTCGCACGCACAGCTCCTTCGCAGGTGTTGAAGTTGACCCCCTTTATGCGGACGTCCTTGTCCTCGTCCTCCCCCGCCCATGACGTAACGCTCCCTCCCCAGTGCGTCCCCCGCACTGCCGCAGTGCGTCCGGCACCACAGACTGGGGGGGATGCCCCCTGGGGTAGCTTACCAGCAACGTCTGCCAACCCTTGTGGAACTTTCGCATGTCTTCCCAACTCTTGTGCAAGGTTGGCGTCTTGAGCCAACTTGCGTGAGCGCTTGCCAAACGTTGTAGCGCTTGCGTGACGCTGCTGTCACTTCTAGACGCTTCGCGCAACCCCACCAGCGCATCCAGAAACGACGCCCAGACGAGTTACCCTGATCAGGGATGTGTGCATAATGCAGTGGCATAAAGGGCTGTGTAAGACGATGTACCCCCAGAGGGGTAGCATGGAGGAGGACCCGGAGGAGAAGCAGGAGGTGGAGGAGGAGGCGGAGGAAGAGAAGGGAGAGGGGGAGGAGGGAGGAGGAAGGAGGAGGATCAGGCGGATGATGATGAAGAGGAGGAGGAAGAGGAGGAGAAGGAGGAGGAGGAGGAGGAGGAGCAGAAAGGTCATAGGCCTCTGTGATGCCTCTCGCATTCTCGTCGGATTTATTTAAAGAGCTTTTTGGAGTCCTCCTGGGGCTTCTCTGGCCTTTCTTGGCAGTCCTGGGGGCCTCCAGAGGCGTCTTTGGTGCCTCGGGGGTGTCTCTTGGGGGTCTCTTAGGAGCCCTTGGGGGCATCGTAGGGGTATCGTGGGGGGCCTCTTGGGGCCTCCTGGGCACGTTGGGGCCGTCTTGGGGCACTTTTTTGGGAGCCCAGGGGGCCATCACGGGGCCATCTTGGAAGAGATCGATATACAGAGGGGGCTTTTTACTTAGGGTCCCCCTCCCACGACAATGACTTGACACTTCTCTCCAGTGCCTCTCGGGGCATCTTGCCTGCGTCTGGGGGGCCTATTGGGGCGTCTCTTAGGTGCCTCTGGGGGGCATGTTGGGGGCCTCTTTGGTGCCTCCTTGGCACCTCTTGTGGCCGTCTTGGGGCACCCGTTGGGAGCCTCGGGGGCCACGTTTGGGCCACGTTTGGGCCACGGGGGGTCCTTAACTTTTGTCCCTCCCGCCAGGATGTCAACATGTGGCCAAAAGCGCGATAACATCAATGATTGTGGCCGTCTCGCCAAGGCCTTTGGGGGCGTCTCGAGTACCTCTGGGGGGCCTCTTGGGACGTCTTTGTGGTCTCTCGGGAGCCTCCTGGGCACATCTCGAGGCCGTCTTGGGGCACCCTGGGTAGTCTTGGGGGCCATCTTGGGGCAATCTAGTAGGGCCCACCCCTTCCACAGGAGTCCACCATGTGGTCAAACACAAAGTAGAATCACAGATTTGGGCTTCGTCGTCGAGGTCATTTTGGCTCAAGCAGTCGGGCTCCCGGGATCAAGCAATCGGGCTCAAGCAATCGAGCTCTTTTGGGATCCAGCTAGCAGTCGACGTCGCGATTCACCTGTAGAGCTTGCTTTTGGGCGACCTGTGACACAGCAAGGACAGATCTGGAAGGAAAAAGGCCGAGGCGAGCACAGGCGAACCCCCAAAGGATAAGAAGTTGAAAGCTCAGGAAGTGCACGGGGATGAGGAATCACATTTTCTAGATGGAGATGGACGTGGATGTCACGAAGGTGAACATGATGCGCACGATGAAGGGCACCAGGAATGACATGCAGGATACGGTGGAGAATTCGGAGGGACCGAAAAAACATCGCGCTGCAGGCGAAGTTTACGGCAGATCTGGCGGAGCAGGCAGTGCAGGAGGTGACGACGGCAGTCAATCAGATCAGGAGAATGGTGGAGGAGATGAACAGGGGGAGGGGGAGCCACGACAACACCGAGGAGCACAAGGACCAGGAAAACACGCCGTGGCAGTCGGACGGGGAAAGCTGCGGAATATGAAAAGAACAGCAATATGGGTGCATGCGTTTCTTCTTTGCCCGGAAGGAGCGGGGCAAATATCAGCAGCTTGGAGACAGCACGTTCCACCTCATCGACGAAGAAGGTTATCAAAGACGATGATGTCAAAGCTCGATGCGGGGGGGGGTAGTAGCCGAGATCAGGAAGAAGAAAATAGCGTGACGCGAAGACGGACAGTTGAAATTATCACGCACAGCGCGGCAGGTAGAGAAGGAGACGGAGGAGCCAGTGACAACGTGGAGGGAGAAGGCGCCAGCAGACTTAGCAACGGAGCCAGAGTGACCTTGCCACGGACATTACAAGATTGCATGCGAACGTGCACGGGGGGAAGGCGCGGCAAGTCGATCACGGCGCCCAGCGATTTTCCGAAAGAGCCGGTGCGATTCTTCAGGGCGCCGTAGGAGACTGAGCCAGCACGCTCCAAAAATCATATAACGATGAAGATTTTATTATGGAGTGCAACCGGAATCGGCGAAGAGTCAAACGAAACAGTTCAAATAGGAGCTGTCAATTTGAGAGGTCGTTGGGCATGGTGTTTTGGTTCAAGAAGGCCCGAAGAGCGATGCCAAGGCGAACGACGATGCCATTGGAGGAGATTTCTGGCGCGCGGGGCCCCGCGGAGACAGGGGGTCATTAGCGCGGTCATTCCCTTTTGCAGGCATTCGGCGACTGCGCAGTTTTGTCCGGGCACCAGGGGGCATGTGTAATGGCGTCTGCGTATCTGCCTCGCGCTGGGCGCTCGGGCGTGGAATGCGAAGCAGCACTGGGCCCGCTGCGTCAAATTATGCTCGCACGCCGTAGCGAGAAGGCTTCGGCGTTAGATGTCGATGCGATCGCAGAGGTGGGCCAGCGAGGCCCTAGCCGAAGACGACAGCCCAAAATGCTTTTAGCGGGCGCGGGGCATGGCATGGGAATGTGGTCTGACTGGGAAATGCCGGCAGAAGGATGTCATCTCTGTTGGCATGTCATTGCGTTCGGAAAGACGCAGCGCCGATATTATGTCCGACTTCATGCGCCGCGCAGACCGCGGGGCACGGCGGGCGAACGATGGCGCGACCACACAAGGGGGGGTCAGCGGGGGCGCCCAGTTCCGGGGACATGATGGGAATTTTACATGTATAAAGAAACGCACATGGAGGGACATTGTTTAATTCCCGCACGATGCCCCAGTGATGCGACAGAGGTAATTCACGCTTGCAGCATCGAGGGAAGTGGCAGAATGCGGCGAGGCAGAATATCATGTGGGGGCAAACAAGTCTTGGGGGGGCGAGCCGACATGCCAGTTCAGGCCAGGCGGCCACCAACGAAGAAAGGCGGACCAAGGGCAGTCAGTTTCACCCAGCCTACCGCCAAGAAGCAGGGGCAAAACAAAACAGGTATCTGGATGAGCTCATCGAGGTAGAGGCCGCCAGCGAACTGCCACATGCGCAGAAATAGTTCAGCGCAAACAGCGCAAGCAGACGCAGTGCCAGCGTCGAGGACGAGGAGGGAATCGCGCAATCATGTTTGAATAGCATGAGACAAGCGCGCCAGCAATATTGAACCAGCGGCATGGCGCAATGCATGGGGGAACTGAAGCGCCGCAAAGCGCGCATCGAATATGAGCGAGTGACAGAGATGCGCGGAGGTGGCGATGTGAAATGATCGGTGCACTCGCGGTTGTTCTCGTCGGCGCGCTCAATTGGGAGAACGCGTGCATTAGAGTCGTCGGCGATGTCAATGGTAGTGATATTGTCAGAAACGCACGTGGGGCGTCGCCAACGTTGGGTCCGATCGCCGTCATTCCAGTATTGAGTAAACTACACAGTGGCGCGCTGGTGAGGAGGGCGGAACGAATGCTGAGCAACTTCGAGGCCCCGGACGGGATGGATGGTCGGAAAGGATGCGGCCGCTGCGATTTAGCCTATTGTTCGAGGACGGAGCGATGGGGGAAGGCCCAGGCCGCGTCCATCGACAGAGGGCGCCTGCTGATGCAATCGTACACGCAGCTGTCTCTACCGGTCTCGGTCGTTGGGGGCGGGCGAGGAGGGCGCGGGCGCGATCCAACATGCGCGCGGGCAGCAGCGCGCAGCGCGACAGTCAGACCAGGCAACTCGCAACACGCATACATATATCTACATATATATATATATATAGATGTATATATACGCATAGGTATCGACATTGTGCGCGGCGTCTGGCAAAGTGAGCCGAGATTCATTGTCGCCGTCGCCGTTTACGAATGCCGCCCAGAACGCCGCGGCAGAGTCAGAAGAAGAGTGGGAAGCAAAGTCCCGCGCGCGCGCTGTCGGAAGCGACGTGTTGGGCAAGCGCCAGCTAACGTGGGCGACGTTTGCCGACGACGCCACCTTACTTGCAGAATCCAGACGAGCCCTGGCGCGCGCGATGGGAGTCAGCCGGGCGGAAATGGCAAGCGTCGGGCTGAATCTAAGCGCCGACGAATGC